ATATCACTAGGGGAATATTGTTGCATGTTCCTATCACATGCAGGGGGAGCATCCCCAATATAATTTTGTTATTACTTATCTTATCGCTTTTGTTTATTATCGTTTATTTAGCCTCCCTCATGATTGCACATCTTTTGAATCAAGTTTGAAATCGATTCGTTATTCATTTTTAGTGTGCATAAAACGATGGTTATGTTTGAACTTGATCAAGATTCTTTTAGTAAATTGCACGAGTTTGTGGAATAAAAGGTATATGTATTTGATTCAAGTTAGGTGCAAAAAAAAATGTCAAATTACTTTTAAAAACATGAAAAGTTAAGGTTTTATGTGTTTGATTCGAATCAATCAAGTTAATCACGCATTATGATTCAAATAAAATCTACCAGAGATGAAACAAAGCTTTTTGAACAATTGTATTCCAATTAGGTTTTGTACATGATTATAATCATGAAATTTACTGGCCACCTCTGCCCAATTTGATTCAATTCACACTTTGTACATGATTCGAATCACACAGTTTTTGAACATTTTCCTGAAGGGCCTATTATAGTTGATTCGAATCACAATTTGTACATGATTCGAATTACGGGGTCTTTTATTTGAATCATGATTTGTACTTGATTCGAATCATGAGAAAAATGGGTCAAAATCTTATTTATCATGATTTCATTCACTTGCTCATTTGACTCAATCCATGCATTGTTCTTGATTCGAATCTAACCAACTTTTACCACTCATTTTTGTGTTTAATCTCAAGCACATATAAAATCTTTGTCAACACTTTTTCATGTGTATAATTTCATAATCATTTATGATTTTTTGTGAAATCAACTCTCTCTCACTTTGAAAAGTTATAAACTCTTACATTTGAATTTCTTTCTTTTCAACCTCAGTTTTTGTTTTCAGATCTTGATAATGAGTTATATGTGATTGATTAGGGGAGATGATGTCTTGAAACTAACATTTCTTGAAAATTGGGTAAAGATTTTTCAGGTTGTTGCAAGATTGAGGAGTTGTCAGTGGTGCTGACACATTCCAGTGTGAAAAGGAGGAGGTTATTCTCTCTAGATTATCTTAGTAGTGATTGTGTGGAAGACTACGAATAAGGCGGATTTCTTCTCAGATCTTTAGATTATTCACTGCTCAAGGAATTAGTAGAATTAAAGGGTTGATTTCTACAAACGAAGGCTTCAAGCAGAATTGGTGATATTAGAAGATTCTTGAAGTGTTGATCGAGTAAATATTGCACAAAAGAGTTTAGCGTAAAGCTGTATACAAGTCAAGATTCAAAGTTGAAGTTTTATTTTCTTCAACATTAACTCTTGAAATATTTGTCAAACTATAATGAATCTATGTAGGTTCTGATGAGAAACCATTGAAGAGTGCTCGTAGTATCACACGAGGATGAAAGAGTCAAAGCATTATAAGTTCCGATGTTATCTTTCTACCTTTTACTCTTGCATATAAATTTTGTAGTATATTGCATGCCTAGATTTTTCAATTCATATAGTAGTTTATCGCACTGATAGCAATTTATCGCTTAAGATTAAATTTTGTTAGAATTGAGACCTAATTGAGCTTTAGTGATGCTTAAAATTTGATAAATTTATTGATTTTAGAATTCGCAAATTAAATCATAGTATAGTCGTTTCTCGTGAATTATACTAGTGGTATCGATTGAATACTTTGTGTATCATCATTAATTCAATTTGAGATATTTGTACACTAATTAAGTGTTTAGGTGACTTAATTTCTCTTCAAGTATAATTCACTCTAAAACATTTCTGCGCGCATACTTGGAAAACTTCTGATAATTCATTTTCGAAGAATCAGTTGAATTTTATTTTTAGAATTCATAAATTGAATCATAGTATAGTCATTTCTCGTGAATTATACTAGTGGTATCTATTGAATACCTTGTGTATCATCATTAATTCAATTTGAGATATTTGTACATTGATTAAGTGTTTACGTGAGTTAATTTTTCTTCAAGTATAATTCACTCTAAAACATTTATGCACGGATACTTGGAAAACTTCCGATAATTCATTTTCGAAGAATCACCTGAATTTTATTTTTGAAAAGTCTATTCACCTAGACTATTTTCTTACTCTATATTTTCACTCAACATATATTATTTTGCCAACAACCAACATGACCATGGTTTGAATCCATGGTGAAGGCAAAACTTTAAAAAATTTCTTGTAATTTTGATGACATTGGTAATGAGCATATGTCACATCAACGCCAAGTGTATGTCAAGTGATCTTTTATTTTGACTTTGACTAACAGACCTAATAAGTCTAATAGAAAAGACTAATGTGACGTTGTTTGAAGTCATGTTTTAAAAATTGGATCGAAGATTGAATCAGTGAAACTTCTGATTTAAAGTTCAATTGATTCAACTGGTTAAACCTATGGTCGAACCATTTATTAAATAAACTAATAATATAAAACTAAATTCATAGATATGTCACACATATTCATATGTTTGCAACTTAATAAAATAAATATTTTAAAAATTCATTACAAACTTAATACAACAATATCAATAGTATATATAATAACACAAAATAGTTATACACTTCATTTCAATATTTATTTAAGAATAATTTGAACAAATTAAACTAATTCAAACCAAAATTAAAATAATAGAACATAATAACTAATATAAAATTCAAATAATTAAAAATACTTAAATTAAATAAGATAGAATATAAAAAATAAATAATTTAATAATTTAAATTTTGATATTGACATATTAAACTTTTAAAAAAATATTAAAAAATTTGTCAAATCGATGTATTTTTTTGAACCGGACGGTTTTACAAAACCGGCTCCGATTCTTTAATTGGACGGTTCAATCCGATTTTTTTTTATTTTACTCCAGTTTTGATCCACTAGCGATTTTAAAAAGTTAAATTAATCAGATTCATCTCTAATTTTCAATCCAACCGGTCGAATCGGCCGATTCAATCTAATTTTTAAAATATTGATTTGAAGATATAAGAGATCAAATCGGTCTTTTTAAAAATCAAGAGACTAAAATGGAAAGAGAAAGATAGACAAAAATAATATTTTGTCTATTTATTATATAAAAAAATAAATAGTAGGAATATTTTTTATTTAACAAAATATAATTTATTTTTAACATTTATTAAATTAGTCTAGAAAAGCTTATCCGACCACCAGACAAAATAATAAATTAAAAATTTACTTTTAAATTAATAATAAAATTTCTTAAAATAAAAATTGAATTTGCATATAAAAATAAATTAAAACATAAATTTCAAAACTTACAATTGATTCAGCATTGCAAATGGGTTAATTACTTACGTTTGTTAGTAAATATGCATCATGGAAAGTTGAATGGTTGAATCAATAATGACAAAAATGGAAGATGAAAAGTAGTTGATCCCATGATTTATGTTCTCTCTTTTTACCAATTTTCTTCAAACCAATTACAGTTATCTCTTCAACTTCTCTCTCCACCTTTATATCAAATATAAATAAAAAATATATATAAAAATACTAGTTAAAGGAATAATAAACGGCACCTTTATTTTTTATAACAAAATTAATACACTTAAAATTATATGTGTTGTCTTTGTAAACACAACATTGTTATATATGAATATTTGTATTTTTTTATAAAAGATCAATTATTTTGTGTTAAAAAATAAAAAATATAAAAAATAAAAAATATAAAAAAATATTAATTGTCAGAATATATTTTTTTATATTTGATTATTCTATTTAAAGCAGTTTTGAGAACTATTTATTTCACATTAAAAAATAAATTAAGTATAAATTGATTTATATTTAAAAATATTAATGTAAACGTGAGTTAAACAATAAATTTTAGTATAAAAATTAAATTTAAATTTTAAAATTAAAAATTATATTTTTAAGTAAAATTAATTTTATCTTGAAGAAATCAAATACTTCAAAATTATTTTAGAGTCTATTCTAAGCCTCTAAAATTGCTTTTTCACTCTACAATAACTAAACCAAACATATATTTTATAGTGTTAAAGGCGGTTCGTAGTTTGGTTTGAATCGAATTTAAGATAAAAAATTATTTGATCTAAAAATAAATTTATTTATAATTTAATTCGATTTTAGATGCTATATTAAAAAAAATTAATCAAATCTAATCTAATTTAATACAGTTTAATTTGAATTGATTTTTCAATATTCAAATTATAAATTATATTTATTAATATTATAAAAATATTAATAAATTATAGATTTGATATAAATATATAATATAATATATAAAATATTAATATTACAAAATAAGAATGATCAATTACGGATGAAATAATAAAAATAAACAGATTAAATCAAACTAATAAATATTATTAAAAAAATAATTATCATATAATAATAAATTCACGTGACATATCTTACTAATAATATATATATATATATATATATATATATATATATATATATATATATATATATATATATATATATATATATATATATATATATATATATATATATATATATATATATATATATATATATATATATATATATATATATATATATGGTCGGCTCGGTTTGGATCAATCTGAAATTTAATTTAAATTAAATAATTTTTACAAAATAATATTCAATTACATCTAATAAATTTTTATTTTTTAAATTTTTTTAAATTTTTAATCAATTTATAATATTTTAAATTAATTTAAATTTGAACACCGATACGTAATACAACCAAACTCTGACATTTTAATAGAAGTGTTTCTGATTATAATCACTCATTTTCCGGTTTCAATAATGTAACTCTTGAATATTTTATATTAGGTTTTATAACTTTAACTCACACATTAATATATTATTTATTCTAAACCATACAATACTAATCCTCACAATCACATGATACACAAAACTTTGTCTATAAAAGGGCACAACACACATAAAGCATTACCTCAAACAACCAAAACTATCATCACATACACTAGTATTCATCTCTCTACCTCCAAAAAATGGCTTCCATCAATGTTTTGTCATTCATGATACCACTTCTACTCATAACTTTTTCATCAATGGCAAATGTTGAAGGGTCACGTAACCTTCAAAGCATACATGAAGTTTCCAAAGCTGAATTGCCATCACTACCAATACCTAATCTGCCAAATCTGCCAGCACTACCAGCACAGCCACAATTGCCAGCACTACCCGCACTTCCTGCACAGCCACAATTGCCAACAATTCCAAACTTAGGTCTTCCTAATATTCCTGGAATTCCACAGATTCCTAAGCCATAATTTCCTACGTACTCTTTCAAGTGTGTCTAAGCCATAACTATCTAAAAAGTTCATGAAATCTATATACTATAGTCTAACTATTAAATGTGTTTGTTAAAATATGTTTAAGTTATTTGATGTTGTTTGTGTTGGGTTTTATTTGTACTTTATGGTTATATGTATTATATTGAATCACATGTTGTGTTCAATTTTTTAGGTTGTTTGGATGTGATTTATATCATTGATTGATGTGGCCTAAATCAACTATTGTTTATAATATATATTTAATTTCATGCATATCTTTTCTCATCATGTAAAGACTATGCAGGAATTATGTATAGTATGAAATTGTCATCATGATTTTTATTTGTCTATAGTGAATGTTTATTATGGACTTCTAAATTGAAGATATTAAATTTATACTCGCAACACTTGGTCCCTGGTTTATCAAAGATATCACACAAATTTAATCATTAATGTTAGGGGTGTTCAAATCCAAACCAATCCAAATAAAAAATTGAAAACCAATTCAAAAAATCGAAAACTGCAAAAAACCGAAATTTATTGAATGTGTTTGGATGTTATTTTGTGAAAATCGATCGGTTCGGATCGAATTTCGGATTAATTTTTCAAAACCGATCCAAACCAAACCAAACTGCATACATATATTTTTATACTTATTTACTTTTTATTAGCATGATATGCTATGTGAAATTATTATTAGATGATAATAATTTTTTTAATAATAGTTATTAGCTTGGTATAATTTATTTATTTTTATTATTTCAATCATAATCAATCACTCTCATTTTGTAATATTAACTTTTAATATACTATATGTTATATATTATATCAAATCTATGATTTATTAGTAGTTTTATAATATTAATAAAAATATAATGTGTAATTTGGATATCTAAAAACCGACCCAAATTAAACCGCATAAAATTGGATCGGATCAGATTAAATTTTTTTAATATATCATCCAAAATCGAACGGAACCGCAAATAAATTTATCTTTGAATCAGATGATTTTTTATCTTAAAACCGATTCAAACCGAACCGCGAACACCCCTAATTAATGTCATCGGTTTTGACATTCATAGAGTAACTATTTCATATTTATATAATATTTATATAAAATGTTGGTATAGGTAAGTTAACGTATTTTTAATTTTATTCTCTAATCTATTTTTTTAATAGTCTCTCAATGTTAATTTTTTTATTTATTTTAATTTTTAAAGTTAAAATTTATAAAATTTCGCAAGAAAATTCGAAGGAAACCAACAAATTTTAAATTTGTAGAAAAATTTATAGAAAAATTCACAAAAAACCTACAGATTTTTCTGTGAATTTTGAATTTAAGGACTAAAACAAAAAAAAATTTAACATTCAAAAATTATTTTGAAAAAAAATACAAATTAAAAACTAAAACCAAATACACAATTTATAGGGAGCAACATATTATTTAACCCTATTTTTTAAAAATGTAGTGGTAAAGTAGTAGTGATTTGAAGGACCTATTTGATGTTGTTTATACTTTTTAAGATTAAATTAATTTATTAAACACAAAACAATAAAATAAATACACTAAAAAAAATCTACTTTGGTCACTAGCTACGTTTTGGACTTAAGTCTCTTTTCATTTTTCTTTTCTCTTCGTGTAGACAATCAAATTAAGATATTTTAAAATTATGATAGTCATCATCACACACATACAAGATCAATTGAAGATTTTTATTGGGTACACCACATAAGCAAACATGTTCATTCTCTTTTTTGTTTGATGTTGGGGTTCAACCATCGTTTGATTGAATAATCAAGTGAAGATTATCCAACTTAATGAGTTCAATTGCCTTTTACCACCAGAGATGTTTCTATTTCCTTTTTCTTTTCAAAACTTTTTTTTCTTCAATTTTTGGGTGTTTATTTTTCTTCAACCGATCAAGCACATTATATGAATCTAACTTATGCTAGACTGTCGAAAGCAACTATTCTAGAAATACTTCTCAAGATCCGAGCACTATGGTACAAAATTTACGCTAAATTTGTATCCTATCCGGGAACTAATGGTGTTTAGGTAATACCAATTTTATCGATTTTCCATAGGCCGACCATAAACTTAGCCAATCCTTACTTCAGTCATATATACTTTCTCAAAATTAAAAGTTTTTTCAGAAAAAAATTAACGACTCAATTTTGGAAATTTTAACAACGGTACATACAAATTATTCCAACAAAACTATCCTAACAACACAAAAAACACATAGCAAACAAATAAAGAAAAAATAAGGGAAATACCCCCTCCCCCAAACTTAAACCGGGCATTAGTCTCAATATTCTAATTCAAGTAGAGAGAGGTAAAGAGAAGCTCACAAACACCTCATCGAGGAGGTGACACTACTACAAAATAGACCATTTGTAACACAATATTACAACAACCTTCTTGTTAACTGTGGTAATACATTTCACTACAGTCATAGTTAACAATCATAGTGAAATATACCTAGAATAAAAGAGTTTGAATTCCAGCACCATAATTTTTCATTTATCGTGACAAAATAGGCTTAACCTTGTATATCACCACAATTTTTATAATCAACCGTGGTGTAAGGTGTAATAATTTTATTACGGTTCGTATTATCAACTATGGTGAAAGGTGTTACATATTTATATATAAGCGAAATTATCTCTTACTCCAGTACATAACAACTATCCCTCTCAAAACAAAACCCTAACATCTCTTTCCCTCGTCTCTCTCAAAATAAAACCCTAACATCTCTGTCACACGTCTCTCTCATATGGAAATCCCAAACTTATGCAGCGAACTCGTCTTCTTCGAAGGGTTACCTTTGTTGCATCAAATATTAAGAAATTGTTACCTTACAAGTTTGTCTTCATAATAGTTTATGTTTCAAAATCAGTTTATATATTATTGTTTATGTTTCACTAGTTTGTTTCATAATGTTTGAACTTTCTGATTGTTTTGACTTGTAGGTAGGGATGATGAATGAAAAAAATAATGAGGATGAAGCTAAAGTGAGCGGTACAAACTTGTGTGAAAGACCCAAAATGACATCCATTAAAAATTAACACAAGTTTGCAGCTCTTACTTCAACTTCATCCTCCTTTCATTTTGAATGTGATTATGAGACATATACATTTCTGAAACATTTTATGAGTTGATATTTTGTTGTTATTATTAATAAAAGTTGTATGTTGTTTAAGGTTTGTTGTTGATGAATATTGTTGTTAACATTTGTTTAAAAGATGAGTTTATTATATCTTATGTAGTTTGCGTGTTTTTTCAACACCTTACCGAATATATAACTTTCCAGATTGCATTAGAAAATTATAATATGATTGATAAAGTTATATTAGAAAGTAAGTTACATCTTCAGTTCTAGACAAGAATTCTTCTGCCCATTATCTACATTTTTCTCTTTAATCGTTAGAATTTGGTTTAATGATTCTAGTTCTTCAACTTCCCCTTCCTCCACCTCTAATTTTGTTTGCAAAGTGAATGATATGTTGCAAAATGAACTAGAGGTGAAGGAAGGGGATGTTGAAGAACTAGGAGCGTTAAACCAAGTTCTAACAGTTAAAAAACAAAATATGGATAAGGAGCTGGCAAATTTCTGTTTAGCATTGAACATGTAACTTGTTCTTCTAACATAACTTAATTTGTCATATTATAATTTTCTAGATCAGATCGAAAGGTTATATGTTTAGTGAGAATTGGTGAAATAAACATTTCACATAATTTATAATAAACTCGGTGTATATATCAAAAAGGTTGTTTAGAACAATTGTTGTTAAATATTATGCATTATAGAATATCACAACAGTTGTATAAAGTAACCGTTGTGATAGGTAGCATGCTACATAGATTATAATCACGGCTGTACGACCGTGGTGGAAAGCATCACACATTCAACCACTCCTTACCTTACAACGGTTTGTCAGGCGTGATGGTATCCCTTTTCTAACCATTGTGAAATGGATTTATGTAGTAGTGTGGGAAGCGCAATAGAAGGTGAATGCGAAGAAAAAAGAACCTGCAAAAAGAAAAAACATAAAAAGGTATAAGAAATTAAATGTGTGTTTTTCTTTCCATGGAGTGCTTTATTTAATGTCGTTTTAGCTTGACGGTTCATGAGCGCAAGTACTTATGGTGGTTCTTTTAGAATCAGGTGTATTTCTTCCTTTACTACATAATCAATAGTGCTTTAATCTCTGTCCATTCATAGTGAATGAGCCCGTACACTCACTCCATATTTATATTGCTCCATACGGTGTAACCGTCTTCACCATAAAGGGTCTAGATACGAACATTAGAGTTTTCCAAGAAACAGTTTAAGTTTAGAATTAAATAATAAGACCAGCTCACCTTCCTTGGACTCTCTTTTAAGAATTGTTTTATCGCCCCATATCTTATTTTTCTATTTGTACAACTTTGTGATTCATATGCATCAAGCTGTAATTTTTCTAACTCACTTAATTGTAATTTTATTTTTTCTCCTGCTGCCCGATAATCTAGATTAAGGGATTTTATAGACCGATATGCCTTATATTCTAATTCCATCGGGAGGTGGAAGGACTTCCCATATATTAACTTGAATGGGTTCATGCCAATGGGAGTTTTATAAGCAGTGCAGTATGGCCAAAGTGAGTCGTCGAGTTTAGAGGACCGGACCTTCCTAGAAAGGGACACTATCTTATCTAAAATGGATTTAATTTCTCTATTAGAAACCTCGTCTTGACCACTTGTTAGGGGATGGTAGGGTGTAGTAACCCTATTCCTAACCCCATATTTATTAAGAAGGCTCTCAAATTTCTTGAAAATAAAATGTGATCCCTCATCGCTTATCACCAGCCTAGGGGCTCCAAACCTTGGGAAAATTATTTTTTTTAAACATTTTTATCACGACTCAGGCATCATTTGTTAGAGAGGTGATAGCCTTAATCCATTATGATACATATTCCACAACCATAAATGTGTAATCATTTACCATAGATGA